GGTGGGGAGTGAGGGCGAAGGGTGGGGTGGTAACTGGAAGGAGGGGAGTTATGGGGGGAAAAAAGAGGAACAAATGTAATAATCTGAACAATAAAGATTTAATTAAAAACAAAAATGGGCAGAGAACCTGAACAGACACTTCTCTCAAGGCCACATACAAACGGCCAACAGGTATATGTAAAGATGCTCAACTTCAATAGCTATTAGGGAAATGCAAATAAAAACTACAATGAGCCCTAGCTGGTTTGGCTCAGTAGAGAGAACAGCACCCTGTGGACTGAAGGGTCCTGGCTTCAGTTCCGGTCAAGGGCACCTACCTCAGATACAGGCTCAGTCCCAAGCTGTGCAGGAGGCAACCTATTGATATCTCTCTCTCACATCAATGTTTCTCTCGCTCTGTCTCTCCCTCTCCCTTCCACTCTCTCTAAATATAAATGGAGAAAATATCCTTGAGTGAGGATTAACAAAAAAATACAATGAGATATTATCTCACACCTTTAGAATGGCTATTATAAACTAGTGACACAGTGCACAGATTCATGCAATTAAGATTGCATGAATTAATTAAGATTCCTTAATTGATAAGGAAATTAATTAAAAGGTGGCTGGCAGGGCGAGACTGGGCAAGACGGGCCAGACATGCACTGGAGCCAACCTTCTGTGGTCCCTCCCCAGCCAGCTGCACCTGGGGTGCCATGGCTCAAAAGACATCTGTGGAGTTAGTGTGGTCCCTCCAGCAGGTGGGGTCTCTTGGCCTGGCCTGCAGGGATTGAGCTGAAACAGGCTCTCCGACATCCCTTAAGGGGTCCCGGAGTGTGAGAGGGCACTCTGCAAAGTTTCAGTCATACAGGATGTGGAACACAAATGCAAGTGTGCAGTAAATCAGATGCAGGGCCAACAGTGCCCCAGCAACAACATAATTCATAGCCGAAGGTGGAATCGCGTGGTCCCCACAAGAAATTGGGCTCTCTCCTGTCTGGTTTCGGGGTGCGTCACCCGAGAACCGCTGCTGCTAAGTCACTGCAGCTCAGCAGCTTCTGTGTTGGCACCTGCCCCATGGTGGTCAGTGTGTGTCATAGCGACCAGTCGAATGGTCAGACACTTAGCATATTAGCCTGTTATATAGAGAGACTAGAGGCCCAGTGCATTAAATTCATGTATGATTAGGCTGCCAGCTGCTGGCCAAGGCCTTCCTTCCCCCAGCTGCTGGCTGCCAACAGGGGCCTTCCTTCATTCCGCGCATCCCCCTGGTTGTCAGCACATGTCATAGCGAGTGGTCAAACTCCCAGTCAGTCAAACTCCCGAGGGGATGATTTGCATATTAGCCTTTTATTATATAGGATAAAACAAGTAATAACAAGTATTGGAGAGGATGTGAAAAAAAAAGAAACTTGCATTCACTGCTGGTGGGAGTGTAGACTGGTATAGCCACGATAGAAAACAGTAGGATGGTTCCTCAAAAATTAAGAATAGATTTACCATATGACCCAGAAAATTCCCTTTTGGGTAAAATTTGAAAATACAGATTCACAATGATGTGCACCCCTATGTTCATTGTAGTAATGTTCACAGTGGCCAAGACATGGAAACAACTGAACTGTCCTTTGATATATGATTGGATAAAGATGTGGTCCATATATATACTGGAATACTACTCAGATATAATAAATGAAATACTACCATTTGTGACAACACAGATGGACTTTGAGAATACCATGCTAAGCAAAATAAGTCCATCAGGAAAAGTTAAAAACCATATAATGATTTCACTCATATGTGGGGTATAAAACTAAAAGCAACAAATTAACAAACAACATAGACAGACAACAGTATTGTGGTTACCAGAGATAAGGAGTTTAGGAGATAGTAAAAGCTAAAGGGGCCTAATATATGGTGATGAAAGATTATCTGACGTTAGGTGGTAAACACACCATGTAATAGACAGATCATGCATCACAGAAATGTCACTTGAAACCTATATAATTTTATTAACCAATGTCACCCAAATAAATTTAATAAAAAAGGAAAAAATATCAATAAGGTCTTTTGTGGGTTTGAACTAAAATATTAGGCATAGTTTTCCATTTCTCCCTCATTTCATGTAATATATATCTAAATTTCCTACTTGTTTTCCTTCCAATCCTTAGTCCTTGTACCCTTGTCTCTTGTCATTTCTCCTTAATTTGAATGTTCAGTCTTTCATCCTTCTTTCTCTATATTTAACATTCCCCCAGAAATAGTGTGGCATTAAGGAAACTTAAGGGTATACTGCCTGTTCTCAAGTAATATGCCACCCAAAATTGGTAAGTGATGACAAAATAAAATCCCAATGTTCAAGGAAAAACAAGTCATTCTCTTAAATACTGTAGGTTTTTTTCCCCTCACTTGAAGACATGCTTTGAGAGAAGAAAGTGGAAGAGACAGAAACATTGATGTGAGAGAGAAACATCAATCAGTTACCTTCCATATGCTCCCCCACTTGTCGATCAGATCTGCAACCCAGGTATGAGCCCTGACTGAATCAAACTAGCAATCCTGTGGTGCATGGAACAATGCTCAACCTACTGAGCCACTATGGCCGAGCTAAATTAATTTGATTAATTACACAAATTATTATATAATCTAGAGGCCCAGTGCATAAAATTCGTGCATGGTGGGGCGGGGAGGTGCCTCAGCCCAGCCTGCACCCTCTCCAATCTGGGACCCCTATGGGACTGACTGGTAGTCGGACATCCTTCTCACAATCTGGACTGCTGGCTCCTATCTGCTCGCCTGCCTGCCTGCCTGCCTGACTGCCCCTAACCTCTTCTGCCTGCCAGCTGATCTCCCCCTAACCGCTCCCCTGCCGGCCTGATTGACGCCTAATTGCTCCCCTGCTGGCCTGATTGCCCCTAACTGCCCTCCCCTGCTGGCCCAATCGCCCACAACTGCCCTCTCCTGCTGCCCATCTTGTGGCAGTCATCTTGTGGCAGCCATCTTGTGATGACATCACACGAGGATGTCACATGAGGATTGACGCCATCTAGGCTTTTATTATATAGGATTTCAAAACATAAGTCACAATATTCTTTGTTCAGCAACAGTATAAAACAAAACTTTTGTGTTCAGATACAAACAAAAACTTGGAGAGATGCATCTACTACCACATCATATCATTTCTCCTATTCATGTTAAATATTGTTCTGATTCTCTCTCATAACTTCCAGGAGAAATTTCATACTTTTTCACTTTACAAACTAGATCGTTAATGACCTATTTTCCTCATAGCCTCATCTCTACTAGTCTCCCATGTGCACCCTCCATGCTAGCTATTAAAAAGTAAACAGAAGGTCATGTAGCTCCCTGAATATGGCCTCCTGTCCTACATGTGTTCATGAGTATAATTCCATTGCCTGGAATAACCCCATCCATCTCCATTTAGCTAGTTATTCAGGTACCTCTAGATTCAATTTAAATACTTTGTTCTCAACAGATATATCATAAAAGAGTATATTTAATGACTGCCTAACAGGTTCACCTATTCTCTTACTGGTTATGTTGTTTCCAATTTTTGTTGCTAATGCTAGAATGTGCATAGTTTTTCCTTCTATTTAATATTTGCCAAAGATAAAATCTCAAGATATTCAGTAAATGCAAATTCCTCATTAAGGGTTTTTCACATATGATAATATACCAAGTGAAAAATTTGACTTAAAAATTACCATCCCAATGTAAAAACTTTTAGATCAAATCAATAAAATTATATATAGACATAAATAGGCAAGCAATGCCAACACATGAAAATATGCACATTTGAAAAGCATAACACTGAACCACAACTATATAAAGATAGATATATTGCTATAAGAATCAAAAGAGAGCCCTAACAAGTTTGGCTCAGTGGCTAGAGCATCAGCCTGTGGACTGAAGAGTCCCAGGTTCGATTCCAGCCAAGGGCATGTACCTTGGTTGTGGGCACATCCCCAGTAGTGGGTATGCAGGAGGCAGCTGATCCATGTTTCTCTCTCATCGATGTTTTTAACTCTCTATCCCTCTCCCTTCCTCTCTGTAAAAAATCAATAAAATATATATATATATTTAAAAAGAATCGAAAGAGAATAAAGCATGATATAGATATATTATATATATTTTTTAAGTTTGTCAAATATATGGAATTGAAAAGTGGTTTTCATAGAATATAAATCTAATTCTTAAAATTACCACAAGAATAAACAAACTTAATATGTACTAGAGGCCCGGTGCATGAAATTCATGTACTTGGGGGACGTCCCTCAGCCCAAATTGAGAGAGGTCACAGGCCAGGCTGAGGGACCCACCTGTGCATGGTCGGGGCCGGGGAGGGGTGCAGGAGGTTGGCCAGCTTGGGGGGGACATGGGAGGGCTCCAGGGCATGTCTGGCCCATCTCACTCAGTCCCAACTGGCAGGACCCCAGCAGCAAGCTAACCTACCAGTCCAGTGATGGCGAACCTATGACGCACGTGTCAGAGGTGACACGCAAACTCATTTTTTGGTTGATTTTTCTTTGTTAAATGGCATTTAAATATATAAAATAAATATCAAAAATATAAGTCTTTGTTTTACTATGGTTGCGAATATCAAAAAGTTTCTCTGTGTGACACAGCACCAGTGTTAAGTTAGGGCTTTTCAAAATGCTGACACGCGGAGCTCAAAAGGTTCGCCATCACTGTACCAGTCAGAGCATCTGCCCCCTCGTGGTCAGTGCACATCATAGTAACTGGTCGACCAGTGGACTGTCTGCCCTCTGGTGGTCAGTGCACATCATAGCGAGCAGTTGAGCAGCCTTAGCATATTATTAGCATATTAGGCTTTTATTATATAGGATAGTTGTATATGTATATACACACATAAAACCATATTTATGTGTGTGTGTATATATGTATATATGTGTGTATATATGTATATGTGTGTGTATGTATATATATGTATATGCTAGTATCAACTGGGATAATAAAATAAGTTTGCTTAAATATCTACTCACCAGGACTCCCTCCGTCATGGTCTTTTGGGTTCCTGGGTCCTGAAGAGGGGTAAATAGGAAAGAGTAAGGATGTTTTCCAGCCTGATGGGTTTGGATGTTGGATAGTCCTTTGTATCCTAACAAAACGCAGATGGTATTTTACCTAGAAGTAGCAACAGGAAACAAACTATGCTTAAAACTGAACAAACTGAAAAGCAAATATTATAAATAAAGGACAGTTAAGAACATAAGGAAAACCATGTGATTTGAAAGAGGAGACTCATCTGATGTCAACATGATACTGAATGCCTGGAAATGGCAGTGACTCCCAACATAATATAGATGCTCCAATCACATCTACATCTGAAGTCCTCTCAATGTGCAGACAGTTCACAAAAGCAAGATATATATGTGGCCCACAAATACATGAAAAGTTTCTCAATGTCACACGTAAAATAAATGTGAATTAAAACCACAGTGATATTTTTCTTACCTATCACACTGGAAAAATCAAAAAGCTTAACCACACACTCTGTTAGCAAGATTATAGACAAAAAGGCACTTTAATTCATTGCTTGTAGGATGCAAGATGGCACAACTGTAATGGAGAATCTTGTAATGTTTAACAAAATTACATATGCATTTACTGTTTGATTCAGCAATCTTACTTCCAGGAACAGACTTGAAATATATATCTCCAACAATATGAAGAAAAGGTACGTATACGTTTGTTGTTAATGTTATCTGTGGTGGAAATACATTGAAATCAATTGCTCATAAATAGGAGACTGCATAAACTATGGTATATGAACATAATAGAGAGCTATGTATCTGTTCAAGGTACAGCAGAAAATAGAAAGGGTAGGAAAATTCTAAGGTATCAGGTAGCAACAGCAGCAAGCAGCCACCAGCCCTAGGACTAAGGGAACAAGAGCAAGAGTTTATAATTACTAAAAATTATAAACTTAGAGGAGAGGTCCTGTGGGGCTGAACACCAAACTTCTGAGGAGAATGCATGAGTCAGCTGGTGCTGTCCCAGAGTGTGAGAGAAGGGCCCTCTGGGACTGGACCTAGATTTCTGAGAAGGAGCTCCAGCCACCTCGAGCTGGTCACCTTTGAGAGGGTGTGATGAGGCTGATTTTGAAAACTGTTGGACAATCTGCAAACTGTATTTGGCTGCTGCTATAGGAAGAAAGTGCTACTGCAAAAAAAGAAGTGTTGCTGGGATGTCACTCACAGGAACTACAAGCAGACAGAAAGCCAGCAGGAAAGATCAAATTTCTTCCCCAAGTCCTGTGCTTTAGCAGTAGAGTCTTACACAGAGCTGGCTGAAAAAACAGAAGCGTAGCTACAGCATTAAAGAGCAGAGTAAAAGAATGGATTTATGGCTCAAAAAGAGACTGATAAGTATACATTTAAAAAATGAAGTATACATATGTAATTTATACTACATAACATATTAATTTAAATGTATATATCTCCATGCATTCATATATAATACCTATGTAATTTATATATATCAATACATCTAATCTTTGGATGCACTGCCAAAGAAGTTGGAAATATAAGTACACTTCCACCAAAATACTTCAGCATTTACTAGAATTCAATACTTGTTTATAGTTCTTGAGGTAAAATTAGATACAATAAAATGGACAAATTTTAACTGTATATCTGCTTAACTATACATACATTTTGGCAAATACAGTTTTCATAATCCAAACCACATAAAAGATAAACAAGAGCCTCAACCCCAGAAAGTTCTCTCATGCCCCTTTCCAGTCGATCCTGATCACACTCCCTCAGAGATGCATTTTTTTTTTTATTTCACCATAGGGTAATATTGCCTGTAATATAATTTCATATAAATAAAACCCACAAGATTATACTCTTTTCCATAAGGCTTCTTTATCAGAAAGAATAAGATTCATTAATGTAGCCAAAACCGGTTTGGCTCAGTGGATGGAGCGTCGGCCTGCGGACTGAAAGGTCCCAGGTTCGATTCCGGTCAAGGGCATGTACCTGGCTTGTGGGCACTTCCCCAGTGGGGGATGTGCAGGAGGCAGCTGATCGATGTTTCTCTCTCATCGATGTTTCTAACTCTCTATCTCTCTCCCTTCCTCTCTGTAAAAAATCAATAAAATATATATAAAAAAAAGATTCATTAATGTAACTGCTTTTTTCAGTAGTTAATTCATTTTTGTCACTGAGCAATATTTCACAGTGTAAATATAACAGAGGTCATTAATTTTCTGGTTGAAAATTACCTGACTGTTCCCAATAATTATTCGGCTAATATGGATAATGCTGTTATGAACATTCTTACACATCTCTTTGTGAAAATATGTTTTCCTTCTTTAGGGTAATTCATAGGAGTGCAACTGATGACTCATATAGAATAGATGTGTGTTTAGACTTATTTGAGCAAACAAATGGCAGACATATTTCTAACCTGATCATACCATTTTATAGTCTCACCAACAGTGGCTTCACATCCTTAACAGTATCGTCAGACTAATTTTTGCCTTCCTGGTGGAGGGTAGAGGTGTCTCATATGGCTTAAATTTGTATTTTCCTGATGTATAATGGAATTGCATACTTTTCATGTCTTTATTAGCCGTTCGTATATCTGCTTTGATAAACTATTTGAATATTTTGTTTATCTTTGAAACTGGGCTGCTTGTCTCTTTATTATTGAGTTGTAGGACTTTTAAAAATATCTTGGGAGAACCAAGATGGCGATACTTGCTGCCTCCCACAACCACATCAAAATTACAACTAAAATCCAGAACCAGCATCACTCAGAACCACCTGAAATCTGGGGCTGAATGGAAGTTTTACAAATAGAGAAGCAAAAAAGAAAGAACATTGAGGCTGGTAGGAGGGGAAGAGGCGCAGAAGGAGCTGGTCCAACACCCACCTGCATCGTGTTTTTAATCAGGAGGGATATCTTCACTGCGGAAGCCACCTATGAGAAGCAGGCGGTTCCAGCCCCACACCAGACCCCCACTCCAAGGTGACAGAGATGGGAAGAGAGGTCCCTGTAACTTTAGGCTTTAAAAACCAGCGGGGATTGTGGCAAGTAACACTGAGGTTGCTGGAAACCCAGCAGTTCCTCTTAAAGAGCCAGCAAATGGTCTTAGTCCAGTGATGGTGAACCTATGACACGCGTGGCAGAGGTGACACATGAACTCATTTTGGATGACAGAGACAAAAAGTTGCATAATTCAAATATCTGTCTCTCGCAATGGCCAGAGTTGGGCATCACTCGAGTAATATTATTACTCACGTTACTCATGATCAATAATGCAATTCTAAAACCGGATGTAAACATGTACATCGGTGTTCGTAGCAAAGATACACAGTGAAAACATCCAAGATACATTGTTCCAATATTGACATTAATATAAAAAGGTTAAGAATTGCACTATAAAGAGATTAATCTTTACTCATGACATTTTATTTTTACTCGAGTGACAAAATGCCCAGTTCTGGAAACAGCCTCCTTATTGTCAACATGTGCCTCAGATGAGCTTCCCGTGCGTTCGGGTGCATTCGGCAAACGGACGCACTTGATCGCCATGTTTGTTAGGAGACAGGAGTGGGAGGGTTAGAAGAAAAAGATATACAGTGCAACAGGGCTCGACGAGACATTCTGTGTGTCGGATAATTGATTACAGCACCATATATTTGTTGGTTATACATACTACCTTTGAATTGTTTTGCACCAGGAGTCAGTGCAACAACACTGCAAAAAGTTACTAGGCAAGAAACCTACCAACCTTTTATAAAAAACGCCGTGATTTATATTTATTTATTTCTGCAGCCTTGTGATGGAGAAACAAAAATAAAAATAAAAAAAAGCAAGATTGAATGATAAAGGAAGTGGAAGCAGCAGTAGCCGACCCTTTCAAGACATACGGACCGAGATGTACGGGATTGTTGACAGAAACCACAGATCATTGTGCGTACTGTGTAATGAAACGGTAGTAAGCAGAACATGGAATGTAAAGACACATTTTGAAACTAATCACTGTCAGCTCTTGAAAAAAAGTATCGATGAAAGGAAGGAATACATTTCTAGGCAGCTACACCTCTATAAAAGTCAATCAAATTCCATCATTAAATTTGTAAGATGCTCTACAAATTTAACATCAGCAAGTTACTGTATTGCTCACTCCATAGCTCAGCATGGAAAAGCCCTCAGTGACGGAGAATTTATTAAGGAAACATTTCTAAGATGTGCGCCAGCTCTATTTCACAATATGAAAAATAAAGATGATATTATTAAAAGAATTTCTGAGTTACCACTCAGTAGAAATACTATCAAAGACAGAATAATAGATCTTAACAAAAATGTACAACATCAATTAAAAAAAGACTTAAATAGTTGTAAATATTTTTCGATTTCTCTTGATGAAACTACTGATGTCACATCAAATGCTCGGTTGGCCATTATTGCTAGATATTCTGATGGTCTCACAAGGAGAGAAGAGTTGATAAAGTTAGAATCAGTGCCAATAAGTACATCATGAAACGAAATATGTAAGGTTGTTATAAAAACATTCAGTGACCTAAACATTGATATCTCTAAAATTGTGTCAGTCACGACAGATGGGGCACCAAATATGGTGGGGAAAAATGTGGGATTCCTGAAATTGTTTATGGAAGCTATTAGACATCCACTTGTACCTTTTCATTGCATTACCCATCAGGAGGTGTTGTGTGCCAAATTGGGATTCTCAGAATTGAATGATTTAATGTCAGTTGTAACAAAAATTGTGAATTTTATAGCTTCTCGACCCCTTCACAAGCGAGAATTTTCTGCACTTTTACAGGAAGTTGATTCAACCTCCAGTGGACTACTGATGTTCAATAATGTGAGATGGCTGAGTCCAGGTAAAGTACTTGAGTGATTTGCGGAGTGCTTTGAAGAAATTACGGTATTTATTGAGAATAAGGATCTGGCAAACTTTCCTCAGATCAATGATCATAAGTGGGTCAGCAATTTGATGTTTTTTACAGATCACTCTGTTCATATGAATGAAATGAACTTAAAATTACAAGGTTTTGGCAAAAGTATTGACGTTATGTTTGGATACATCAAATCTTTTGAAAGTAAACTTAAAATTTTCAAGTGAGATATTGAAACTAAAACTTATT